AAACAATGGTAAAAAAATTTTGAAAATCCGAGCAAGTTTATTTTTATGGTGCACCCCCTAGTAGCATGACAGCTACCAAGAATTGCATATTGAAGCGTGTACGCCGACGCATGACAGGCAAGCTCCTGTGTCTTGGTTTCGTGCGCGAAGATCGAAATGCAATTATTCGTGTATCAAGCCAACTGCCAAGTGCCAACAATGTGTTTATTGTTAGAAATGATAATGGACTAACCCGTTTCGGGATACTTCGTAGCAACTAGCAAGCTTGCCGCGCATCGATCTAATAATGCTTCTCGTTGTAAGGCCACCTTGTTTGTCGTTAGATATAGGCAAAATGCACCCAGCACCCCTGTTGCCTGTGCCCTGCGGACCTCGCTGAGCTGCTATGCAAAGCGAAAAAGCAAAGACTCAATGGATGGTTATATTAGTGATTACCCATACCGTGATGGGTGCTACATGCCTAGCATGAAATATTTACTTACTTACTTGCACTTAATTTTTGTATTATATGTTCATAATCATATAAATTCGGCGGAATGACAGACTTGAGGCTGAGCGCGGCCCAGTAAACTTCGCATCGAAAAATCCAAACGAGTAACATCCGTCAACTAATAGTTATATGTAATAATTGAAAACAAACTTTGCTTGTTTACCTGAAATTAGAATTTTATACAATTAATGTAAGATTGAAGTCGTGTTTTTACCAATTTCCCTACACCATCCGGTAAATTAATTACCCTCAGCCCTTCGTTGTGCCTGTGGGCTGCGCGGTCGTATCGTGGCTTTCGCCACGGTATAGCGGGGGCGAAATGAATTACAAATGAGGATCGCGACGCGTGACTTGTAAGTTTATAACCTACCAGGACGCGCGCCGAGTTGGACTCGTCGACGGTCCTGATTAATATTTGAAGCAAATATTTTACGACTACAAGTATCAGTGATACTATCACCCGTTAAAGAAAGGATTGGAAATTGAACTCGCCGGTACGTCGACGGATGATGCTTGTCTAAATTTTTTCGAAGTAACACGAAAAACTTTTTTTTCGAAGCGAAATGTTTGTGTTACTGGGCGGCGCTCAGCCTGTGCCTTTTCAATGTCATTCCGCAACCCACAACCGTTTATCATTTACGAACGAATAAAAAACAACGTCAATATTTTACATGTCACAGTTAGCTGGCAGTACGGCCCAGTTAATAAATTGTGCATCGCGCCGATCAAGAAAAAAAACATTATTTGATGCGCTGATCAGTCTTCTAAGACTAATAATATAAAACATCGTTTCTTTTGTCCGTAATTGCCTGTACTGCGTGAAAATTACAAAATAATTACAGCACATTTACAAAATAAGAATAATAAAAAAGGAAACGTGTTTTCTCGTTTATAATTCATAATTATTTTTAGAATAACGCTTTATTGTTAATGCAATCATAGTGGTCAGCTAGTGACATGGCTATGACGCCTTTTTCTTACATGGTTATGACATGGTTATGACATGGTTATGACATGGTTATGACATGGTTATGACATGGTTATGACATGGTTATTGGCTATGACATGGTTACAACCAAAACTCCTTCAGACCAATTTTGAACCATTATGAGCACTTTCAGGATACAATTCATTTCCGTTCATTTCCGTTCATTTTATGAACCTGGGTCATTTTGTGCGACTTTCGAAGCCTAGTTTATGACACTATCTATCATAGAAATCCGAATTGGGGGTTCTCAGCCCTTACGTAATAAGTCTCAAATTTAAATGACACACATGCGCCACATATTGATTTACATGATAAACCTGCTAGCGCATGTGTGTCAAAAACAAAAGTGACAGACATGCGCTACCAGGTTTATCATGTAAATCAATAGGTGGCGCATGTGTGTCATTTCAATTTGAGACTTATTACGTAAGGGCTGGGAACCCCCAATTCGGTTTTATATGATAGATATTGTCATAAGCTAGGCCTAGAGGTCATCGAAAGTCGCACAAAATGACCCAGGTTCATAGAATGAACGGAAATGAACAGAAATGAATTGTATCCCAAAATTGCTCATAATGGTTCAAAATTGGTCTGAAGAGTTTGGTTGGCCCTAGGACCACCCTATGACATGGTTATGACATGGTTATGACATGGTTATGACATGGTTATGACATGGTTATGACATGGTTATGACATGGTTATGACATGGTGATGACATGGTTATTGGTTATGACATGGTTACAACCAAAACTCCTTCAGTCCAATTTTGAACCATTATGAGCACTTTCATGATACAATTCATTTCCGTTCATTTCCGTTCATTCAATGAACCTGGGTCATTTTGTGCGACTTTCGATGACCTATAGGCCTAGCTTATGACACTATCTATCATAGAAAACCGAATTGGGGGTTCCCAGCCCTTACGTAATAAGTCTCAAATTTAAATGACACACATGCGCCACCTATTGATTTACATGATAAACCTGGTAGCGCATGTCTGTCACTTTTGTTTTTGACACACATGCGCTACCAGGTTTATCATGTAAATCAAAAGGAGGCGCATGTGTGTCATTTAAATTTGAGACTTATTACGTAAGGGCTGGGAACCCCCAATTCGGTTTTATATGATAGATAGTGTCATGAGCTAGGCCTAGAGATCATCGAAAGTCGCACAAAATGACCCAGGTTCATAGAATGAACAGAAATGAACGGAAATGAACGGAAATGAATTGTATCCCAAAATTGCTCATAATGGTTCAAAATTGGTCTGAAGAGTTTGGTTGGCCCTAGGACCACCCTATGACATGGTTATGACATGGTTATGACATGGTTATGACATGGTTATGACATGGTTATGACATGGTTATGACATGGTTATGACATGGTTATGACATGGTTATGACATGGTTATGACATGGTTATGACATGGTTATGACATGGTTATGACATGGTTATTGGTTATGACATGGTTACAACCAAAACTCCTTCAGTCCAATTTCGAACCATTATGAGCACTTTCATGATACAATTCATTTCCGTTCATTTCCGTTCATTCTATGAACCTGGGTCATTTTGTGCGACTTTCGATGACCTCTAGGCCTAGCTTATGACACTATCTATCATAGAAAACCGAATTGGGGGTTCCCAGCCCTTACGTAATAAGTCTCAAATTTAAATGACACACATGCGCCACATATTGATTTACATGATAAACCTGCTAGCTTGTAGCGCGATGCGTTACTGTGCCGCGCCGCGCACTTAATAAGGCTTCTCACAGCGACAGTAACGGGAATCCCAATTTTCCAACTCCCAGCTGCTGGGAGTTGAAACTGCCGGAGCGCATTTTTATTTGAATTTGATTTGGAGTCGAGCGCTACGTTATACCCCTATATATAGCTCGTTTCAAGACGAAATCCTCATTTGTTCATTTTGTCTTTCGCTTACGTTCAATACGTTGTTACTTCTATTTTAAATCTTGTATGCGAATCTTCTTCATTAATCTTATGAACCAGCTGATTTTCGTATCAGTACACTAGTACGTATTTCTTAATGTTATTCCTCCCCAAGGAAGAGTGTTAACTTCAATAATCACAATATCACAACCAAATATTGACCAATACCAATCGTTTAATCGGTATTTAATTATTATCAGTGTCTTAGTCCAGTCTTACTAAGAGTCTAAGTCGTATTTTCAGCTAAATATTAAACAATTGAAACTTAAAAGGACCGTGGCCGTAATCTTGTACCCTCCTAGTCTTAGGTTATCACACCCCTATTTACCTCTTAATCACAGCCTAAATGTAGCGTAGGAGTCATGCAATAACATGATTATCGCTTGGGCAAGTTACATTATATTAGCCTCCTCAGGTGAGCAGTCATGTAGATATATATTAGCTGTATTCGATTTAGGTAAGAAGTCACAGAAACTTGGAAGCTGATTTATTTGTATCTCTCCTAGTTCTGTGTAGGCTGCATTAAGGTTAGATGCTAGGAATACAAAATACTATTGAATTCATTAGCTATAACTCTGCGATCAGTTATCTTTTCATTGTCAATGGTAAATATAGGTCTGATATCACGTTTCTGTTTGCCACGAATTTTATTTATCAGTTCCCAGGTTTTCTTGGAGTTTCCCTGAGTTTCAAGAAACTTGTCAGAATAATATTCAGATACAGCCTTTTGACGAACATTTTTTAGAGCCTTTCTATATTCTTTGTAGTCATCATGATAATGGTATCTTTTATTACAGCAGATAGAACACAGGCATGTGCCCCCTTTTGTGTCAGTTTCGCCTTGTTTACACTTAACTTTCCTGACTTTCGCCCAGTTATCATACAGTCCATTGCAGTGGTTTACTGAGGCTATAATCCCCCTAGAAATCCAGGGTTTGTTCTGGATAGTGCGCTTAGTGGTTTTGGGTACAGCTAGTTTGCAGGTTTCGTCAATGCTGTTTTTAAAGATATCATGAAAGTTAGTAAAATCTATAATTGGTTCATTGTCTAGTTTGTATTGCATCACTTGATTTAATTAAATGTACATATATAATACTGTTTGACACACTTTCTCTTGTCTAGTTTGTTACCCAAGACTTCAGCAAATTGATCAGTGTTTGATTTATAATAGTCATAATATTGAGTGTGCTTGTGAATATTTTTGGTCTTGCTAATTTCCCAGTCAAATATTGTAAATATAGGGAGGTGGTGAGATAATATGTGATCAGTTATGACATTAGGGGTGGAGTAGATAAGAAGTTGTTTTATCATTTAATAACCTGAATTTGTGTGGTCGATAAGATTTTGTTACCTTCTAATTCTGTACTTTCATGCTTATTAACACTGCAGCATGAGATTAGTATCCGCTCTGAAACCATAGTGTGTAGCGTGTGTATTCTACAATGTTTCCCACATAAAACAAACATATGGGAGCCCTTTTAAATCGTAGGTTTTGTTTTAGTATGGCTGAGGCATTGTGAAATGATGATCAACACGACAGAATCAGAGAAATACTCTGAAACAATTTCCTAGGTTGACATGACTTTACAACTACCAAATTTGCAGGAAGTATGGTTTCTTGTCTGTTGCTGAATTGGATTTCAATTATTTTTCTCTTCTAATGATGTCGCAATCAGGCTAGACTGCAATTGTTAGGTAAGAATTTAAGTGATTTTCAGATTAAATTAATATATTTTAGCTTAGTGCAGGGTTAAAAAGGTAGAAACTCTCATTGCACTATATAATAATCATAATACTATATAATTAATAGGTTCATCAAAGTTTGAATCAAAGTCGCAATGAATTATCAATTTAGTTTAATACAAGTCTCTTCAGGTATCAAAGGGACACGCCTTAAAGAACAGTGATAACACTAAATGAATAGAAGCCTTACATAACAAGCCTACAATAACAGCTCAAAATGGTCGTATACGACGGAGCTGACTGCTAGGGAGCGAGATCTCTACTTCCAGGAGCTGTTTGGAGTAGTAACTAAAGACCAAGGAGGACTCAGATGTAAACATGCTAGTCACCCTGGTGAACAAGGTAGTACAGGGCAGGTTCTTGACATGGGAGACACAACGCAATTAGACTTTATTGGAACAACCTCATCTACAACTACAAGATGATCCCAGCTCTCCTTAAATTCCATCTAAACTCGACAAAAGGATGTGGCTAATACCCCTGCTAATATATGAAGCTGTGAAACTATTCGAGCACAGGAAACTTTTGGAAGACGTGTAACATCAACCAGATCCTGGCTGTCTAGTGTCTGTAGTGTAGCAAGAAACTCCAAGAGATACAACTGGGGGCATGACAACGTTCTGCGTGTCATAGCTGGAGCCTTGCTAGACCAACTCAAGACGTACAATTCCGCATTTTCCACGCCCTTCGACAAATAATCGTTACGGTTCAAGTTGGAGGATGGGAGCTATGATAAGCTGAAGTTGAGGAAGGAGATGCCGTTCGAGAGGGCGAAAGACTGGATGCTGATCTGGGACGAGGACACGATACCTGCCCAGTTCTACAACACATCTACAACACATCCGAGAGACCTGACATCGTAGAGAGAAGTGGTTCTGATTGAACTGACTTGTGGTGACGAGAGTAATTTCAGTGACCAAGTCGTGCGTAAATAAGTACGGTACAACAGAGAGCTGGCATCGACAGGTGCGTTTGGAAAGCTCAGCTCTTTACGGTAGAGATTGGGTACCATACTTACCAGCTCTACTCAACTACTTTGGACTGACGAAGAGGACGAAGAAGAAAGCACTGAATGAGGCTGCTTTGGTCGCTCCTAAATGTTCCTATGCCATTTAGTTAGCCCGTGACAGCAAGAAATGGTCTACCTTCTACGAACTCGCAAGGTAGAAGCCATTAACTGCGAAAGTTGGACCCATAAAACATGTGAAAGCTGCAACCAAGATCGCAAGTACTGGTGGAATACACGTACAGTAATGGCTTGCTGACTAGATGTATAAATGGAGTTGCTATCGAACGATGCAGAATTCAGGTAAACATCTAAACCTGTTATAGTTGATTTTTTTCATACACATTATAGCTCTTAAATTAAAAGCAAATCAAAGCCTTCATGTTGTGTAGCAGGTTGGTAGGTAGGGCGTGGACTGTGAACTAATTATACTTGGTAATGCTGAAATCTAACATATTCACAGTACATTATTCTATGCAATCATGATAGCATCGGGGGGGGGGGGGGGGGGGGGGGGGTCATATCTTCCAGTTAGTATATGGTACATTTTCCAACCCCAAAAAACCCATTTTACCACAAATTTCAATTTTGGGAACGTGGTTTAGAGTTTTTTTTTGGGTTTTTTAGAATTTTTTTCCTGTATATTTAACTTTTTATCTAATTCGAACTACATTGAAAACACAACCCCTACTAAATAGTGGGTATAATTTGCCCATTTTCCAATGTTTAATGAGCTGTTTATGGGTGGGTATCCTATGTTATATACCAAGACACAGTTAGTACTGTGATTTCTCAACAGTTAGTACCACAATAGCCGGAAAAAGGGGGTGCGTGTCCCCCCCCCCCCCCCCCCCGATAGCATTATAATCAACTGAATTTAAACACGATTTCTCAAATAATGATAAACGCAAATACATATAGAACAATGAATTAATCTTTAATATTATGTCAAATGCAGAGGCGACATACGAGCCATCAATCATTATACTAATAATCCACACACATTATCTCTAAATTTGAATTGAATACGGTCATTGCATGCGTTGGGATTATCAGTGATGTACGAAAGAGTCGATTTTTAAGGTTCGTTGGCACGGAAAGTTCAAATGGATTTCTTAGCGAAAAAATTGATTGAAAAAAACTTATTGTGGCCAACTGCTGAATCCAATTTTGCTAACTGATAATTATGTAATTATGGAGACACTTCTCCGTAGTTCGAAGATAACTTCTAGTGTGAAATTTGAATGTTCATTGCCAGCAGATTCCCCTTACAGCCCAGACTAAAAGTAACTGTATTAGCGACTGTTATAAGAACTCCCGTCGACCTTCTTCAATTTAAAAATATCGTAAAAGATTTCCATGATGTCCAATTTAGTTGACTCACTCAACCCCGACACCAAGGCATCCAAATCTTGTGGACAGCAGATTTTGTGGCACTCCTGTACAATCAATTTGATAATACCCTCTGTCAAGTCATTATCGAGAAACGGCATTGATCCAAAGCTGATTTGATCCATGAGGTCTTTCAACGCTTTTTCAAAATTGTCCCTTTTGACAGTTGTTACCGGATGTCTGTCTAAGGAAATGATCATAGTCATAAAAATAATTCACAAATAATCCCGTCTACATAGGGACACCAGGTTCTAGTGACATTCGTAAATCTTTTGTCGATTGACAACTGGGTTAAACTGGATGGAACTAAAACAATCAGTCTTTCTTCCGTTTTAGAAAACATATGCCTTAAACTTACCTGCTAAAGATTGAGCGACGTTTCCCTCCTCCTCAAGGGAAATAAGATTTATCAAAACTTCGTCCTGGGTAGGACCACAAATGTCGCAGCATGTATCATTAACAGTCAAGTTGTTCGCCACCACAACTCCTGATGATATGCGAATTTGTATTTCACTTTTCTGGTTTTCACTGTCTTAAAGTTAACAACTTTGTTAATTTTCTCCGCGAAGTTCGTGAATTTTAAATATAATAAAATAATAGGAATAACTGAATAAATGATATATAAAGTATTATTTTATCGACACACTTCGTATTGCATTTGGCATATAAAATCTATTCCACGAGGCTGGGCAATGGCAGCTCGTACATTGGTTATTGCATATTGGTATTTGTACCAACTCAAGTATTCACTGACCCTACAATATTCAATATTTTAAAAATCTCATAAGATTAAAGAAAGCCACAAAATTACCTGTAAAACGTTTAACCAAGTTCGAATGTCTGCATTCTTCATTCTGTAGCCTGTAATCATTACAGAAGTCTTCTAGATCCTTGGGTTTAATGTCAATGAACAGGAGGCAGATAGCTTTTATGCCGTCTTTTCGACCACATCTACCAGTCATTTGGACAAAGTCTTCCAATCGTCTAGGCATTTGTAAGTGTACAACATAGCATATACCTGAAAATTTATTCGTTATTTATATTGGTCCGCAATCTTATGTATACATATTGATATAATACGAATGTTATAGTTACATTTATCAGGGAACTGATCGTGGAGATCCAAACTCCGTTGACACAGACGAAATTTAAAAAAAATCGTTCAAGTCATTAAATTAACATTGCTTACCCACAGCGTCGAAACCCATTGACAAGGCGCTAGTAGCTATGACTATTCTTACATCGCCGTCCTCCAGCATTAAGCTTCTTGAAATCATCTCTTGTTTTTTTGCTGGTATCTGTGAGTGATAAACTTCCAGACCTGCTGTTGTGCGCCCCTTCTCTTCTAGTGCCTGTCGCATATACCATGTATCATACATCTTTTCATAAAAGTTACAAGGTTTATAGTCAACTTATCACTCTTCAAAGCCTATTTTTTGTAGTTATATAGTATTTATTTTTAATACTATATTGCATTCTGTTCTGTGTTGAAAAGCACACGGTCTATTGAACGAAATTATTGTAAAAAGTCGCACTTTTTTTCAACTGACCGACTGCTAGTGGAAAATAACATTTGCCCAAAATTATGTTGCAAACATAGATAACAGCGCACTCGTGATACATTACAGGAATTTTACAAACACGAGATACCTTTTTAATCGAGAGATAAAGAAGGCCACAATCCACTAAACTTTTCTCAAATATGAGAATTCTCGGGCATTGTTTTCCTTTCTCTAGCATTTGGGCAAGGTTATTAACATTGAGTTTTCCCTTGGCGTTAATAAAGCTTATACGTGGGTTTATGGGGTTCCTCTTTATCTCCAAAAAAGAAGAAATCCCGAGACTCTGTCTGGTACATTTATCCGTAACTTCTCGCATCGTAGCGGACATACATAATATTCTCGGCCTATTCTGAAATTGTACCCTTTTTAATTGGAATATCGATTAAATTAGCCGTTGTTTGTGATTAGTTTGAAATTACATAGACCACACAGGGTGTACCACGTAATCTCTTATTCCAACAGCCACATTGTTACACAAGTGTAACCAGCCAATTACAGGAAGCCGAAGGATTCAATTATACATTGCGACATTTTTGAAAGATGATTAAGACATTTATAAAGGAGCAGTTGTTAATATTCTACATCACGATATTTTAAGGATACCAAGTTTCATGTCCCTATTTATTTACATCAATATTGCATAACGTTAACCTTTAATTTTGCTATGACGTTCGCCAATTCCTTAAATCGCTTTCTGAAGGGTTTATCTCGTTTTGTTGCCCCTTCTCCCCATGTCTTTAGGCAGTGCGCCTCGTCTATTACAAATAAACGGCACCTTCCCTGTATTTCTCTTAATACCTGATGATACATTTTTCATCTTTAACTTGAAATCAAATACGGTATTTTAGGGGCTCACTTCAATATCCTTTAATTATACAAGAACAAGGACCTTATTGGAGTGTAACTCAATAAATCAATAAGTATTTTTTTATATTACGAACTTGTTCCCCCTTCTGACTGAAGAACACCTCCGGGTTAGCTACAACAGCATTATATTCAGTGGAAGAAAATAACTCGATAGAGTCTGTATTGGCATCTAAGCAGCCCACGTTCAACTGAAAAGTGGAAACATTATTTCATATTATGACCCTTGTGCTTAACTTGTAGTAGTTACAGGAAGAGGGTTAATGGCTTTCTGCTCTCCTATAAAATTGTGCCTTAGGATCTCAACGCTACGTAAATCCTATGGTACTAACCTTTTTAAAACTATGTATATGAGTAAACGAGATAGATTTTAGTGGTGTCACGATGATGACCACATAGTCAAGTTTTCTTATCTTGCAACTAAGCGCTAGGGCTTGGAAGATAAGCGACTTTCCAGCTCCTGTTGGTAAGCATACCACCACGTCTAACCCATTAAGAATGGCACTGATGGCCCTTTCCTGGTCCTCCGTCATACTGTATCCCGTAGCTCCCATTATGTCTGCTTTGCATTCTGAAAAGGCGACGGTTTTTGAAACAGTTAAAAAATTTAATTACTCAAATGCGGTTCAAGATTGTGTTAAGAATATGAGACAAGGACGTAGCAATCACTAAGAGTGATGTAAATTTGTTTTTTCTACAGTCTTACCTTCAACTGTGAATGGCCATTTGTCCGGTTGCATATTGTAATATCACCCTATTTAGTATATTGCGTTATTATCATAATCAATGTCATTATTATTTTGATCATCTCGATGTTATTCTGTATATCGATATTGTGTAATCAAATCATATCATTTGCTATCTAAATTCATGTAACTAACCAATTCAACAATTTTCATATTGATTTAATATACTTTTATCTCTTCAAACAGTTAAATTAGCTTAGTTAATTGAAATATAAGAATATAAAATTACAATGACATTATGTGAAAGGGAAACGGTCTATGTCATAAAACAGTGAATAAGCAATATAAAATCAATAGCTACCTTAGGGCCAACAAATTTGGGTGGGCCACAATAAATTTGGTTACTATAATTTTAGTTACCATAATTTTGGGCACAAATTTCGCAAATTTTTAGTCTACAACAATTTTAGTCGAATTTTTTGACTTTTCGAGATCATTTTCCATTCCATTTATTTGATTTTACATTATTACTTAGTTTTTTTTCCAATTTCCCATTTAAAGTCATACTTTATAGTGAACTAGTACAGACAACGGAACACATGTATTAGAAATTTCCCATGGGCCCACCTGCACACTGCGCGACAAACGGTCACATGGACAAATTATTAACCTCTTGATCCTGTAACTATACGCCCGTATTTTGGTACTTACACTATACGTCATTATTTTGGTAAGGAGGAATATTCTCGATCTGGGAACATTCCAACGACGAGCCAACATTACATAAATTAGTTACATA